GGTTTCTGGCTGTTTTTGAAGGAGTTATGGTTGATGTGTCTAATTGGATGGTGAAATTGTGATGAAAAAATGGGTTTGATGGAACCACAAGCAGTTCTGTCTTGGCAAGTTTGAGTTGAAGGTGATGGTCCTTCATCCAGCAAGAAATGCCAGTTAGACAAGCTGAGATGCGAGCAGCTATCGTCGGATCATCAGGATGGAATGAAAGGTAGAGTTGAGTGTCATCAGCATAGCAGTGATATGAAAAGCCATGTTTCTGAATGACAGAACCTAGTGATGCCATGTAGACAGAGAAGAGAAGTGGTCCAAGAACTGAGCCCTGAGGCACCCCAGTAGTTAGATGTTGGGACTTGGACACCTCACCTCTCCAAGATACCTTGAAGGACCTATCTGAGAGGTAAGACTCAAACCTTAAATAAATAAAAAATACTGCACAATCATTTTCAGTTGCCTCAAAATAGCAATGCGCCAACAACGCGCCTGAACACACCTCACTTTCAGACCAGCACGCCCATGGGCAAACAGATGGGTGCAATTTAAACAACGTGGCACTGGAAAATTATAACTGCATCGGGCTGAACTAGCAAAAAAAACTTGCGTCGCGCCTGGTGTCGCATTGCACCGGGTGTATGATAGGGCCCACTGAGTCTAAAAAGTCAACTCTGTTTCTTTTAAAATAACTATTTTCTTAATCACTCAGCCAAAAATCTATCAACTGTAACAGGCTTTTAATAGCTCACACATGTACTTTACAGCACACACATGAACAAACCCATGTGGTGATTGTTAGTGCTGAACATACTTGAGTTTGCCTAGTCTGTAGTTTGGATCAGAGAGCAGCTTGACTAATGATTGTCCTGGGTGATTGTAGCTCAGATCCAGCTCTCTCAGGTGTGAGGGGTTTGAACTCAGAGCTGAAGCCAGAAAACGACAGCCTTCCTCTGTCACCATACAGCCAGATAATCTACAAACACAAACAAACACTCAACATCATATCACCTGTAATTCTGCTTTAAATCAAATGATTCATTGATTCAATTTGCCATTTTTATTACAGGTTCAGTTCAGCTGGAGAAACTCTGGGTTTAGTGTTTTACTCAGTGTCACAGTGTTGATGGAGCAGATGATCTCAGTAACAGTTTCTGTTTATCTTCACTCATCACAACAGACATTTTAATCACTGAATTAATCACAGAAAATCAGGCTGGAGCAAATGCAACCCCAAAGTCTTCAGACACACTGGGCTGTGCTGATATATTACAAACACACAGGAGATCAGGGCCAGAGCAGAGAGCATCTTTAATTTCATAACCAAGTGAACTTTTATCTGTTTTTCTTACCTCAGTATGTTGAGTTGGCAGTGTGAATTCTTCAGTCCATCAGAGAGAATCTTCACTCCTGAATCCTGTAGGTCATTGTTACTCAGGTCCAGCTCTCTCAATGAGTTTGATGATTGTAGAGATGAAGACAAACTTTCACAACACTGATCAGTGAGATTACAGTCAGAAAGTCTGTAAAACAGGATGAAGATATGGTTGATTAAATTATTGTTTTCTGTGCTGATATATTGACATATTGCTCATATGACTAATGAGTGAACTCTGAAATTTGACTTACAATAATCTCAAATAGGTTTAAATTAGTGTGGTCAATCAGGTTTTAATATTGCGGTTGGTATATAGTAACTAAATGTTGATGTGTTAAATTCTAAATGTTGTGCTGTACCAAACATTCAGAAAGAGCGTCTCAAGTTTATTCTTAACAAGATCCCTGATCATTTCAGTTTTACTTTAATAGCCTGAGTGGAACACTAGCAAAAAACAGCCTGTTTAATAGTAGCGGTCAATGAGATGTAATGGTCATGATAAAGTAATTATTTGAATAAAAATTGACACTCTCAACTGCTGTACCTGTCTAGATTTTTTTAACTGTGTACTTTCCTTGGAAATCTAAATCAAGTACAAAATAAAAGACTCACAGAGCTTTTCTGCAGTTCAGCACAGCTGGTATCAGTCTCCTTCTACCCTCATCCGATGTGTTGTATTTCTTCAGATCAAACTCATCCAGCACCTCTTCTGATATCTGAATCATGTAGGCGATTGTTGAGCAGTGAGAAGGAGAGAGTTTCTTCACTGAGTGATTCTCTGATTTCACAAAATTCTGAATCTCTCTGTACAGAGTCTGATCATTCATTTCTAGCAGACAGAGGAACAGATTGATGCACCTGTTAGCTGAGAGACCTTTATCATCATTGATTGTGTCTTTAATGCATCGTGTAATTCTGTTGATGGTCTCTGAGCTGTTCACTGTGTGTGTCAGTAGATCATGTAAGAGTCTCTGATTGGACTCCAGTGAGATGCCCAGCAGGAACCGCAGGAAAAGATCCAGGTGTCCATTTTCACTCTGTAAGGATTTATCAACTGTGCCTTCTAGTAGCTCAAACAGAGCGATTTCTCGACTGTACCACTTATATCCTTTCAGAAATGTCTTCAGTAATTCCAAGTTCCTAACTACATGTGAATAAAACAGAAAGAAAGCAGCCAGAAACTCCTGAAAGCTCAGATGTATGAAGCAGTAGACTTTCCTCTGATGAATAACAGATTCCTCCTTAAAGATCTCAGTGCAAATCCCAGAATACACTGAGGCGTCAGTGACATCTATGCCGCTCTCAATCAGGTCCTCCTCATAGAACATCACATTGCCCTTCATCAGCTGTTTCAAAGCCAGTTCAGCAAGTTTCACAATCACTTCTCTGTTGGACTTTGAGAGTTTCTCTGGATCTTTGTCATCATACTTCTGATTTCTCATGTTGATCTGAGTCAGCAGGAAGTGGATGTACATTTCAGTCAGAGTTTGAGGGATTTCTGCACTGTCATCTTGTTTCATTAGGTTTTGAAGCACAGTGGCTGAGATCCAGCAGAAGACGGGAATGTGGCACATGATGTGGAGGCTTCTTGCCCTTCTGATATGTGAGATGATTCTGCTGGCTTGATGCTCATCACTGATTCTCTTCCTGAAATATTCCTCCTTCTGAGGCTC